CTTGTTGCCTCTTCACTATCTTTAGATAATGATCCATCCTCTCCCGCTTATCTCTGCGTTCGTCGTCTAATTATATAACATTTTTCCTCAACATTTTCCTAATTTTCTGAAAGCAAGTTTCGACCGGACACACTAGTGAAAAAGTCTCTGGCAGACCATCCGGTAGACTTAGAGCTCTTTGGTCTCTTGCCTAAACGACCGAAACAAACTTATGTCAGCCTTCACTAACTTATCCTCCGCTGACTTATCCGCGTCTCTCCTTGTTTGTAATTCACGTCTAGACACTGGCAACAACGTTCCACCTCAGTCAACACGCTGCAGTACCTTTAAGTCGGAGATCCACATCACCAACAAAGAGGTTCTTAAAATCTTGTGGGATCTAAACGTGAACAAGGCCAGATGGTATACCAGCTATAGTTCTAAAGGCGTGTGCACTCGAGTTGTTTCCTCTATTGACATGCTCGTTTCGCCTCTCCATGGAAGCTGACCAATGTGTTGCCTGTTCTAAAGACAGGCAGCCATGATGATACTGCCAATATTCGACTATTCTTAATTTCCTCTGTACTCAGTGAGATTATGGAGCGTGTGTTAGGGGTTAAGGCTCTAGAGATAAATGAGGAAACTAACAATAGTTTCCTCATTCATCTCTAGAGCCTTTCCCCTTGATGTCTCGAAAACTTTTGACAAGATCTGGCTCGCTAGCTATTTCGGTAAGTTTTCAGCATTCAGATTATCCCCTGTTCTGAGCTAGTTAAAAAGTTTTTTGAACGATCTCTCCGATTCGTTGTAGAAGGCTGCTTTTCCGAGCCTATATTAACTAATGTTGGAGTACTCATGATGGTAAGTGGTTGATGCGGCCCATAGACATGTACATCTATCCGCGATTACAAATCAAAATGCAGATGCGTTGTCACCCGTGAGGACTAAGATGGAATGCCTCATTTCCAGTAAAAAGGTTCTCCGGTTCTCTACACTCACCATACGAAACACAGCAGCATTATGCTACTGTTTTACGCTGGTATTCTGTGAGAGCATGGTCCTTCCCCGGTCGAGCCGACCGATGCCTGCTACAACTATACTACTAACATAACTGCAGCATGGCTCTACCACATATAAAAGTCTCTTCTTCCTGCATATCAATTACGAAATATAGATGACAGCACACTATTAGAGAGATATCAGTTGAGTACTCAGACCAGTTGGGATCAAACACAGTCTGAAAGAGGTGCTATGATTGAGCGTGTGAATGGGACGATACTGATTTCGATTCAACGCCTCTAAAACACAAGTTTGACTTTCACCAAAATACCATATAGCGATATTGTACTCAATTGAAAAGCGTTATAGGTGGCTGACATCAATATGGTTAGAATCAATCTTACCAGCCTCGAGCACAGGTGTAAAGTATCCAGTCTCTCGTTTTTTTACAGGACATTAGATAAGATTAGGAATTGGACTTTGCGTGACTTAATTCCTCCCTCTCCATTACATCATCGGACCACCAGATGCTCGGCTGGTCTCCACCTTTTTGTTGTCGACATGCGACGCATTCGAACCAAACGATTTGATTTATCGTTTATAATGAGTACAGTAAAGTAGTGGAATAATTTGGCAGTATTTGTCTTCTGATCGGGTCATAATGTGGATGTCTTCAAAGCAAGAGTTAATAGGCTTTTGTTAGGTTAAGTCAGTGCGCTTTACGATCTCCGCCTGTATCACCACTTACCATCAGATGGGATAGCAGTCAAGCCCTGGATTACAACGGTAAAAAAAGTTTTTATCTCATTTGTCGTTTCATTTCTTCTTCTGAAGGTAATCTTAACAAAGCACCAGGTTTATCTGAAGGAAGGTTTTCAATGTTTTTCTCAATAGTTCTCCATAGTAGATACCAACTTCTTTCCGAGCTCAAGCAGCGACATTTTTGTTTTGACCATCTCTGATCATCTGACAATTTTTATAAGGCCTTGCGCCAAGTCTCCAGCAATATCTTTTATTTGTGGAGATATATTTTCTGAAACAGCAGTCATTCATTACTTTACACCTAAACACACACTCATTACAAAGTAGCTTTTCAAGTTTATGGAGCCTAGAAGTGCTGTCTTTTAATGGATGGTGTATTGCTATAGACGCCACACTCTGCAAGCGGGTTAGCAACCGTAGTTTTTTTCATTAGTTGGCCATCTTCTGATTTATCTCACTTTGTTGCTTCATACGCCATCTGTGGGATGTTACGGGATAGTGGATAATCTTACTCCACTACACAGCCAGCGATAACGTTATAACAATATAAGAGCAGACAGTAAAAGCGATGCGATTTTGTATATTAAGGCTACAGTCTTTTAAAGTTGACTCACATCGAATCATTAGCGCCACTTTGATTTCTTTTTTTACAGCAAATTATTGTTTCAGAGTAAAATATTTTGATAACACATAAATACCCAGATTATAAGTAATGGCTAAATTTTTTTTGGTTCATCTATGTGGTCTATGTTAGATAAATCAAACGGTAAATAGAGCTCTCTCGCACCCAACGCAATTTCGAGCTTTGTTCGTGTACCATTATAAGGCAATCGATAATAAAAAAGGCGAAATCTATTCAGCGCGTTAATAGCTAAACATCTTCATCTCCAAAATGCGCTGTTTCTTTTTTTCTAAATATCTTTCATTGTCTTAAATAAGAGGTCTCAATTTCGTTAAATTTCGCTGTTTTCGCCTCATAAAAACTATTTGTTTCATAGCAATAGCTGAAAATATTTATGCTATAATTATTTTTTTCTCAAGGGCAGGTGTTTAATTAGACAAATATTAAAAAATAATAATTTAAACCACTTTATTTCAAAATTAATAATTATTTCGATCGACCTATAAAATATTGACTTTATAAACAATAATTGCGGGCAATATTCCTTAGTAGCCGTAGCCGCTGAGCGGCTGTAGCGTTCAGACGTCTTGTTTGTGCCAAATTTTTGCACTTCCTCTCGCTCTAACATTCCTCTTTCTCTCTCTTTCCCTAATCTTGGTTGCGCATTGTTACGAATTGAAAGTTGCTCTACTTTATTATTTTTTGCATATAATTCTTTAAGGGTTTATAAATCATTTTGTATTTGTTTTATAACTTTCAATTTCGATATGGACCATAAACGTAAAAAATATGCTTGTACCAGAAAACGAAAATTGAAATCAAACGTTGAAGCAATGAACAGAAATAGAATTCAAAGGTAAGTTTTTTTGTGTTTCATAGTAAAATAGTTAACAACGTGCATATGTGTGAGCACTTGGTTAAATATTAGGTATATAATTAGGTAGGTACTTTTAAGAATAGTTTATAAATGAGTTGCATATTTGTAATGCATATAGGTAAATGCTATACAAAGTTACATTATACTTTAATGAGAAACTATAAATATGTGTGATAGTGGACTGTTTGTACTTATATAGAAATTATTTTGAGTTTTTTTTTTAATCTATTTTAGTATTTAGAACTACTTGACGTACTTGACGGATTTTCGATAGTGTCATCGACTTATTACGAAACCCTCAGTGCACAACTCATTCTAGCACTTGCCAGATTCATTTGAATAATCAATAATACGAGTACATGTTATACAGGTTCTAGATGATTATCTTTTAGAAACCTTTTCAACAAAACAACAAAAATTATACAAACTTAAAATATTTTTTTTTGTGTAACGAATTTTGTAATAAAAGCATGGAACAAAAATAGATACGAGGTAGAAAATCTGTATGTGAAAATTTGTTAGCTAATTATCAATAATCCTGTATATTAGATAAATTGATACTGGAAAATCTTAGTAGAGCAACTTTCCACGCTACGGCCAGAAAGATAACTGCGGTGGCGGTACATGAAGTGGCGGGGCAGGGAGGGTGTAGATGTGTCACCAGAACGCAATTTTTCTGTTTTGCTCTGAAAGACTGGGCTCTTAAATATCAGCGCATGTGATCAATTAGTTATTAAATGACGTTACAAGTGCTACAATCACCGGTGGTGGTATAAATATCAATTTTTTTTTATCCACGTACATAATGCCTTCAGATATTAACGTCATCAAATCTCGGTTTGGTTAGGCTATCGCCGAAATATCCTAAATTTTTAAAAATGTTACGCATAAGAGTTATTTTCTTTTTTGTTTTCTTTGCATGATATTATAATCATTTCAAGCTAGCGCACGACAGCCCACTTTTATTGAGACAACTTAGCGATCCCAGCGCCTCACTTATTTTGTCCATATTTCTGGGACACTATTTTCTACAGCGATCCATTTTTTAATGTTTCTTTTTGTCAAAAATGATAAAATTACGGAGCATGAAAATTTTCTCACCAAAGCTGTGAAGAAAATTTGTACATTATTCAACTAATTTCGTCAACTTGTACTCATAATCAGCTAACTTCGCAGCTACTACTCACCGACGGCAGCGCCGCTGTAAATTCTACAAATTTTCAAAGACAGGCGGGCTATGCTTTAGTACGTAACGATCGTTCTCCTGTTCTCTAACCTCCATGGGTCGGAGCATGGAGGTTAGAGAAAAGGAGAACGATTGCTGTATACATATAGTTGAATAATGTATAAATTTTCTTGGCGGCATTGGTGAGAAAATTTTCATGCTCCGTAATTTTTTCATGTTTGACAAAAAGAAATATAAAAAATTGGAGAAATATTTTATTGTGCGTGGATGTGCAAGTGGTTTAGCATCTGATCGGAAAAATAGACTGAAACACTTTTATTGAGTGAACTTACCTTTAACTTTAACTTTCTGGTACACTTTTTTCTAAGGCGATCGTTCTCCTGTTCTCTTACCTCCATCTTCTTACCGGAGATTGACAGATGACACTCAGAAGGGCTAGAACCCAGAGCCGTAAAGCCAGTTATTTTAAAAAAATGACAGATGACAGTGACAGGTAATCACAGTGATCACGTTGTTTTGAGGTTACAAATTGTTTTTCATAATTTTGAAATTTAAAAAGCTTTTTCTTTATAAAAATGGGTAAAGTAAGAAAGCGTAAACCAAACAAAACTAAAAATAATATTATCGCAGAAAATATTGATGAGGAAATCCCTGTGGATTCTAAGGAAAATGTTATTCAAACTATTTTGGATCAACTTCAGGTAAGCAATTTAATATTTTATATACCTCAGTATTTAAAAGTAAGTTTGGTATAAACACATCATTAATAATTTCTTGGCAGGGAGTAAATGTGGAGGAGAAATATTGTGGCTTGCAAACATTTGCCCTACTTATAGAAAGTCCAGAGAACATTGAGCAGACAATAGAGCGAGGCCTAGTTAAAGTTGTGGCGCCGCTGCTATTGGATCCGGCGGGGCCAGTTAGGAATGCTGCTGCTGGAGTCTTAAGAAATCTTTCTGCAGTTCAACTGGAAGTTTGTGATACCTTGATGGAACAGGATGTAATGACACCATTACTCAGCTTTTTTCATGAGGTGATTAAGCATGTTTATGTTATATTTGCTAATCTAGAGTTAGAGAAAATAAAGAACTTTTTTACTTAATATTCATATGTAATAAAGAGATATAGTGTTCCCCTATGATTTCATAAAGTTATGTTATTTAGGTAATCAGTTATAATGAGCAGTTTTTTGAAATTAAAGCCAAAATTAATATGTCATATATTATGATGTGATTACTTATTTGATTTTTTTATTTTGTTTGAGATAGTGTGATATTCTAGCTATCTCAAAAAAAATATGATGTCAAATGATGGTTTTACACAGGTTGATTGTAAAAATTGACACACACATCTAAATTCACAAGTTACTTACTGCTGTAAAACTGTATAATATGCCTATACATTTTTGTATTACAATATAAAAAGATAAATAAAAATGGAGTGGCACAAGTAAAATGTTTTTTTTTTTCATTGATTAGTGTCATATCAGAAATAGAAGCATTAATGATTCAAATCATACTAGATAAGCAGTCAAGGAACCTACAATTAAATTGTTAAGTTTAAGCCCTTAAGCTTATGATGACCTTTTTTATCTGAAAGCTAAAATAATTAATTATATTTATATTATATCAACCTTATATTTGAATGTCAGTAACTTCAAATTAAATTAAATATAAAATTTATAAAAATAAAAATTCTGTAGGTGTCCTAATAGGTAACAGAGAGATGTGTAACTGTTGGTTTGTACATTTTACAGCATACAGAGACTTGGACCCCAGAAATAAATTCAAAAACAAAACTAGAGGATGTTGATACTATTATTCAATGCATTAATCTACTATTGAATCTGTGTGAAAGTTCAGGTAAAAAAAACAGTGATTTTTATTTAACTAACTCTAGAATTAACTATAATTTTTGGTATTTTTGTTCTTTGTATATGTATTTACTAAATTCTTAAATATAATTTTAGAGGCTATGAATTATGTATGGCCAAGAAGTATGCAGTTATAAACCCAATATAACCTCTTTATCTATTTCTTTTTTCTTTAGATTTGGCTGTTAAATATCTTGGACAATCAAGAGTTTTAAGTATATTACTCCCGAGGTATCTAGACATTGCTACATTTGGCTGTGATATAGTATCTGCTGTATTGCAATGTTTGTTTGTGGTTGTCGAAGACAATCCTGATGTTATGGAAAAAGTTAAATCAACATGTGAGAAACAATTACAAGAACTTATGGTGATTGAAAACAGTGATCCTTCATATTTGCTTATCAAAACATTAGCTTCAGGAGTAATAATAAACACATGTGGAGGCAACATGGCAGTGTTACCTGTCAATGTCATTCATCAAATTGTTACAATACTAGCAAAGACACTGTCTATAGATCATAGGTTAGTTTGCAACGAGCTCTCCAGTAGTGTGCCATTAACCAATGGGAGTGAAAAACTTGAATCACCTCAAGGAAAAGAAGCCCAAGTGTTGGAAAATCAATTGAAGTCTGTGTCTCATATGTTAGATGCACAGCAGAGATCAATAGAAATTATTGCAAACATTTGCTCATGCGATGGTAAGAAATATTTATTATAATGCTAAGAAAATGCTGAACTCTGCTCAAAACTGAACTGCACTGAAGTTTGCTCATTTTGTTAAGTACAAATATTGGTATACCTAAGAATGTTGATACAAGTGTACAACTGGTACATGTCCCAATAATTACTTATGAAACTAAAATCTACTTCTCACTGCTGCTGTATTGCATCAAAGACAATATACTCGTTATACAAATTAGGCTTGTTTAAAGCTTCTATATACATCAGAATCTTCACAAAACAAGACCTTCTCATAGAAGAACTGGCAAGAAAGTCTTGAGTCTTTTGTTCTTTTATGCCATGTTGCAACATTATTTAATATTACAATTTATATAAAATAATACAATATGGAGGGTCCATATATGTTTCTGAAATGCCAGTTTTAACAAAATAATATTAGTAGCCAGGCGACTTGTAAGCACTGAATAAGAAGTATTTCCACACATCATTGTTTCAATATATTAATCTATTTTATACTAGGGTTCTTCTTAACTTAATTTTCTTAACAAGTTTCTTAATATTTATATAAGGTATGAGGAACTAAAAGTTACCTAGCAAGCTTATGACAGGGCTATGTTTGCGGTTTTCCTATGTGAATAATCCATAATATGCAGCAGAGCAGGGGTAACTGACATAGCCCCATGAATCAGTAAGCTGTAATATAGTTCAATGAACTGTCATCCAACAGTAATGAAAGATATAGTCTGGCAAGCTTGTACTGACCAATGCTGTATATAGTAATTGTTCAATAGACAGAGTAGTTGCATAATGAGGCCCGCAATAAGTAAGATGGTGCAGGTGACACAGGACCATGCTTAGTGGCAATACTAAGAGAGACTTATGTTTAGTACAGTCTGTTTGCAAAGATAGTGTCAGTACACCCGGAGGCGCACTTATTATTTTGCTTTTATTTTTTTTGTGTTTGTTAAATAAATGTTTTTCTATTCTAAGAATAAAATATGAATATAAATAATAAACATAAGTGAGGTGGCAAAAACCTTCCACTATGGCCCCTAAGGGAAAATTTTGCATTTTAAACTTAAAATGCAAATTTTCCCTTCTGTTTACACCACACATGGCGACCTTTGATGTCGCGGCGGCGCCTTTGACAAGATGCGGTACGTGCCAAAGGATCACGTCACAAAGACGGTATCTAAGCAAACAGCTTATAATGGTTTTGTTGATGGGCTGTAAACTGTAATGATCATGAGCATAAATTGTTTATTCAAATTATTATTTGCTAAAATCCCTATATGAGATGTTTCAACCTATACAGTTTTGTTACCCTAAAATAGTGCATAGCATGAAAATTATAATTTTCAATTATATTTCATATGAGAGTATAAGTTATCTAAAAACTACTAAAACTAACAAAAAATCTTTTTAGTCATAAGAGCTTACAGATGTTCCTTGCATAATTATCCACATAAGAATTTAGATTCTTTAGGTATTTTGTTATACATTTTCATGCAAGTACATTAGCAGACATAATATTATATCAAAATAAAGAATTTTCAATGTTAATTCAACTTCTTTTATGTTTTTGTACTATAGATGCAAATGACCAAATGGATGGTCCTGAATCTTCTGACAGTGATGAATTAGGAGATGATGAATGTAGCAATGGTGAAGAAGTGGCTCTTGCAGAGGACAAGCTTCCACCAGAGATTTTAGAAGCTTTAATATCTTTAGAGATATTTGATAAAGTGTGGGCTCGGACTCAGCTACCAGCAGATAATGTTATGTTAATATTAGAAGAATATGAAGGTTCAAAATTAATACACAAAAAGTAAGTGATTTTCTCAAAATTTGTTAGATATTTGTTAAACTGTTTGGATGATGATGGTAAGGCACCATTCATTAATTACGTAAGGATGATTTGGCCATTTTTGAACCCACCCCCCATGCAGGTGTACTTAACACGCCCCTTAAGAAGAAGTTATCGACCCCTCCCCCTCCCTCTTCTTATGTAAAAATTCTATCTTGTTTTTCAGAATAATAAATTGTTGTTAGAAAAATGTCAGTTAAAAATGTTTATACGTGGTAGAGCTATGCTGCAGTTATATTAGTAGTGTAGTTGTAGCACGAATGGGTCGGCTCGACTGAGAAGGACCACGCTCTCACAGAATACCAGCGTAAAATAGCAGTTTAACGCTGCTGTGTTTCGTATGGTGAGTGTAGAGAACCATAGACCCTTTTTACTGGAAACGAGGCATTCTACCTAAGTCCTCACGGATGACAACGCATCTGCATTTTGATTCGTAATCGAGGATAGATGTATTATAGGAATAGATGTATAGATAAAGTATGCACAAATAAAAAAATTAGTCCAGTGTCATTAACCAGGGAAGGAACATGTTTATATAGACTAAGGGTCATTCCATCATCACACACGTTCAGACAAAACAGCAATATATCATAGACTTATGAAAAACGTACCAAATTTCAGTTATGTAGCACAATTATTTTTGAAGTTATTAATTTTTAAAGATTTAAATTTTTATGATAAAATTTCATGTTTTGGCAGCTTTGGATGCCTGTAGACTGACAACCAATGATGATATCTCATTTTAAAGATGTTGAATGGGGCTTTAGTATGATATGCCACTAGATAGGGTTATAATTTTTAAAAAAAATATTTTTTTAAAGTTTCTATTTTAAAAATTACAAAAAGTTATCAAATATTATATGATATAGATGTTTATGGGCCACAGCAACCACTTACCATCAGGTGGGCTGAGTACTCGTTTGCCACCCTATCCTATAATAATAATAAAAAAGTTACATTAAAATTCTCAATTTAACGTAAGTCAAAGATTTTTATTTTGTAACAGACAATTTAGGTAATACTCTTATTGCTATCAGATATTATATTACCATTATATTATTATTAGACAGCTAGTTGAGATAGTATCTAGTCTTCGTAATATCATTATTATAATTAAAAGTAAGTTTTTAAATTATCTTAAAGCTAGCAAACATAAATCAGTTAATCAATCTACAAACAAAAAATATTTTTAAAATAATGATCGACTACTTTTGAATTAATTTTGTACAAAGTAAATTACACAGTAAAAGCAGATTCAGATGACCATTCGTCGTCTGGACACAATGCGTGAGTAAGCCATGTTGTCCAATCGAAAAATAAAACAAAGCGGCGAGTTTTTAACAACATGGAATCTACGCGGGATTGGGTTATTCTGTTTATCCCTAAGAAATCCACCTTAGGGTGGATACTCGTAAATGCGTGTCCGTTTATCTACCCCAATATTATTTTTCCTCCGATTTTCTCCCTCGCCTGTCGTTTATAGCAGAGATTATCGAACTTATTTCTTTTACGGCCCCCTTTGAAAATCAAATATTTGTCAGCGCCCCAACTTTTTATACACTCCTAAAAGTTAAAAACCACAATTTCATTACTTTAATTTATTTAGTTATGGTGTGCTATATTAGTCAGTTCTGGTGTTTAAACTTACAAAAAATTTTGATACACTTGGCTGAGCATTATGCTTCTTTTCCAGGCTTTGAAAATAGGCTACATTTTTGTCCTTCTTATCTGGATGCATTTTATTCAAATGATCTTGAAGTCTTGAAGCCTTCATCGCTTCGTTTGAAAATGTTTTTGAACAAAGAAGGCACAAAGGCAAAGATGGATTTGTCGATTTTTTTAGGAATCCGTATTTAATATATTCTGCACTATATTGCCGTCTCTTCTTTTTTACTTCCGATGTGGCTTTGTTTTTACAAACATGTAAATAAAGTGTTGAACTTAAATACTTGTTTAAAGATTGCGCGCAAAACCACTAATGAAAATATAAAAATTATTACGAGCTTTTATATAGGATTTAAATACAGCACGCACCGACAGGAATAAGACAAACACGCACAAACTCGTTTATCTCTTTCGACGCTCAATCGTACTGAGCAAGTTAAGACAAGTATTGATGAACCAGCCGATTGCTACCGGATTACACCAATAGCGTTATTAACAAAAACTTGTTGCAACTTGATAGCGTATGGCGTACGGGCTGTACTATATAAAATCTATGTTAAGTATTTCTAGTTTATATTATACCGAAATATATATATATATATATATATATATATATATATATATATATATAAAAAAAAAAAAATATATATAGGGCAGAGATATAAACAAATTGTTAACATTATCCAATAAAGAATGCACACTGGTTAAAAGATACATATCTCGCTGTGCCAGTAATCATCCTGTGATTGTTAATATATAATATACATAATTTATATCTCGGAATATAATATAATATACATATTATATTCCATAATTAAAAGCAAGCTTAAAGCCAGTCAGTCAGTGGTATTTCGCTTATATATACGAAATATATAGATAAAGTATGCACAAATAATTGTTGAGTATACTTATTATCTACTGACAATATTTAATGATTAATATTAAAAATAATACTTGTATCGTAAAAAAAAATTAGTCTAGTGTCATTAACCAAGGAAGGAACATGTTTATATAGACTAAGGGTCATTCCATGTCAAATCAACATGTTTCAGACTTGATGTCTCAGATTTTCATGATTTTTTATGCAGCAATATATCATAGACTTATGAAAAACGTACCAAATTTCAGTTATGTAGCACAATTATTTTTGAAGTTATTAATTTTTAAAGATTTAAATTTTTATGGAAAAATTTCATGTTTTGGCAGCTTTGGATGCCTGTAGACTGACAACCAATGATGATATCTCATTTTAAAGATGTTGAATGGGGCTTTAATATGATATGCCACTAGATAGGGTTACAATTAAAAAAAAATTTTTAAAGTTTCTATTTTCAAAATTACAAAAAATTATCAAATATTGTTTATAATATCTTAATACATAGCAAAATTCTATCATGGGATCTCAATGGGTTCAAGATATACAGGGCTTCAGAAATACGGGTATTATGAAAAGTACTAGAATTAGTATTTTAGTATTATTTCAGATAATTTTGAATAGTTTATTGAATGAAACAAGCAACACATTACAATGAAAAAAGCAGTGGTTATTACTTTTACATTTTTTAATGCAGAAAAATCACAGACACTTTCCATTAAAAATCCAATATTATGGGTGAAGTTAAGGGTTAACAAATTAGTCCATCGAGACTTCAATCGTTGGAAGATATCCAATGCATGAAACATCAAACGAACTTCCTACAAGCAACTCTGATGCTATGCTACATTGGCTATATACAAATGAGTGGTCTTGTCTGTTTGACCAATCCCCTTTTTATCTGATTAAAAGGGGATTTTCCTCTACTTGTAGACTAATCAGCTTCTGCTATCTTTTAATGAGAGGTTTCCAAACATGGTACTATAATCATTGCAGTTTTATTAATTTAATAGTGTTCGGCACACTGCATAGCAAATTTTGTAATTAACAAATACTAGGCTGCACTAAAAGTATCGGGAATGGAATATTTCCACTGTTCCTGTCATATTAAAATCTTTTTTATTTATTTAAAAAAAGATTCTCGGTCTTGTCACAAGGTTTTGTCAAACTTGTTTAGTCGTTGAGAAAATGGAATTGACTCGAGAAAATTCAAGAGCGATGATTTATTATGATCTTCGAAGTGGTTTAACACAAAAACAGTGTGTTGACCGGATGATTTCTGCATTTGGTGATGAAGCCCCATCCAAAACCACAATTTATCGCTAGTTTGCTGAATTTCAACGTGGACGTGTCAAGCTCAGTTATGATCCCCGTCAAGGTCGTCCAAAAACTGCAGTCACCCAAGAAAACGTTGATACTGTGCGTAAGCTGATTGAGGAAGATCGACATGTGACATACCGCGAAATTCAGGCAACTTTAGACATTGGCATGAGTCAAATACAAATAATCTTGCATGAACAATTAGGTTTAAAAAAGTTGTTTTCCCGATGGATACCGCATTCGCTCTGTGAAGAGCAAAAAGCGGCTCGCGTTACTTGGTGCGTCAGAACTCTCGAAAGATTCCACGCAGGATCCTCAAATGCTGTATACAACATCGTATCAGGTGACGAATCCTGGATATACGCGTACGAACCCGAAAAAAAACCAGTCACGAGTTTGGGTGTTTGGAAATGAGTTAAGCCAACAAAAATTGTTCGTTCACGGAGTGTTGCAAAAAAAATGGTGGCCACGTTTGTCTCCAAAACCGGCCATGTTACGACTATTCCTCTTGAGGGACAAAGAACGGTCAATTCAAAATGGTATGCTAGCATTTGTTTGCCACAGGTCGTTTCTGAACTCCGTAAAGAGAACTGCAACCGCCGCATCATCCTCCATCACGACAATGCGAGTTCTCACACCGCACACAGAACAAAAAGAGTTTTTAGAGCAAGAAAACATGGAATTATTAGACCATCCGCCGTACAGCCTCGACCTAAGCCCTAATGATTTCTATACTTTCTCTAAAATAAAGAATAAATTGCGGGCACAGAGATTTTCATCACCTGAAGAAGCTGTGGACGCCTCACAAAACGGCCATTTTGGAGACCCCAACTTCCGAATGGAATGGTTGCTTCAATGATTGGTTCCATCGTACGGAAAAAAGTGTCAAATTTCGCGGAGAATACTTCTAAAAGCAATAAATAGATTTTTAAATAGTAATGTTGTGTCACTTCCTTGATTCCCGAAATTTCCAGTGCCGCCCTCGTAAAATTTTACTAATTTGGTACATTATTTACAAAAAATGTGTATCTCTGAAGCCCTGTATCTCTTGATCCCATTGAGATCCCATAATTGAATTTTGCTATATGTATTAAGACATTATAAACAATATTTGATAGTTTTTTGTAATTTTTAAAATAGAAACTTAATTTTTTTTAAATTGTACTCTTGTGGTATATCATATTAAAGCCCCATTCAACAGCTTTAAAATGAGACCACTCCCAGGTTTATATCATCGTTGGTTGCCAGCCTATAGGCATCCAAAGGTGGCCAAAACATGAAATTAAAAAAAAATTAAATCTTTAAAAATTAATAACTTCAAAAATAATTGTGCTTTATAACTGAAACTTAGTATTTTTTCATAAGTCTATGGGATATATTCCTGTGTAAAAAAATCATGAAAATCTGAGACATCAATTCTGGAAAAATTGGTTTGAATTGACATGGAATTACACCTAAGCTCCACCCAGATATCCTATGAATAGGGATAAAATAGATTCCCTCAAGGGTCTAAGAGTTCTTAGTACTACAGGATCTGGGTCCTTCTTCAAAACCTCAAGAATAAAGTAACTAAGTCATGACAAAGTGACGTATCTAATTATCAAAAATTTTATTGAAATCTGAAACGAACTAGTATTGTATTTACTTTCTCTTGTTTTGCCACAATATATTACGACTGTCTTGACACAAATTTTGTTTTAATTTCAGAGTCCATACATTGCAAACAAGAGCTTTGTTATGTGTAAACAATATGATATCTAGTCTTCCAGTAGAAAATCTAGGTGGTGTGAATGGTATTTACAAAATATGGGTTGTCGCAGGGAAACTAGTCTTTAAGCAGAACACTGACAATCTGTACATATTAGAGTCCGCAACAGCAGTTATGAGAGCAGCTTTAGATAAAATAAAGTTTAGAGAAAATGGAAAATCTGGTCAATGTGATCTCTTCCGTGACTTATCGCTGTCAGATATAGAGGTAAGATATAACATTATACGATTTATAAAAAATCTATGGCGTTAGTTTCTTTGACTATTAGTTACATACCTAGTGTCAATATTTGTACATTATTGTTTTCCCATTTGAATTTATTTTTATTTTCATAGTATGATATTTAACAGTTCATATTTCAACATACTATTCTATATTTTATAAATTTTTTGTCTCAAAAGAGAAGTAGGTAGTGAGTGTAGATCTATTTGGATCCACATCCATTTTTTTTTATTTTGTTTTCGTCATATTAATGTTGTAACCGTCGCCGTTATTATAAGCACATTATATTATTGCATTCCATATAGTTTTATTAGCACTGAAAGTATTGAGTTTTAGACAAAATTTGAGTCAAAAACGCCTTTGATAAAATCGTCCTTGAGCAAACTAATCAGGTATTCAATTTTTATTAGATTGATGTCAATATAACAATTGGGGACAATATTCTGTCATGTAGTTTAAAGTAGTAATAGTTGTGATAGTTGCTAAAACCGTAATTTAGCTGAATAGTTTACATTTCCACCATCCGGCATTGATCATCCACAATAGTTTCAACAAAAGATAAAAAATCCTTTAAAAGAGGTTCAACAAAATATTTCTTTTAATTGTGCCTCCTGTGCACAATGCACTGTTTTATTCTGGTCGATAATATTGGTTCATAAAAGATTACCTCATAGGTTAGATATTTGCCATAGTTATATTTTATACTTTGTAGGCTGGTATCAACCGCAGTTAATTTTTTTTTAAATTTTTTTTTAGGAAAACGCTGCTGCCCATCTCCTGGTTCGTTTTCCACTTTCACCTCTTACGACACCCATGGGTCCATATGTACCACCACTATGCATCATAATATTGCTAAAATATCAAAAAAAAAATTGCTACCTCTTATATTCCAGAGCCGTGGTAGCTCAGTGGTTAACGCTCGCTGTAAATATAACAGAACGCGAGTAACCCGGGTTCGATCCCCGCCGGCACCAATGAAATTGTTAGTTGCAATTTTAAGTGCTGATTTACCACGTGCTCGGCGGTGAAGGAAAACATCGTGAGGAAACCTTTCAAAAAAAAATTATTACGAAAAAAAAATTATTTCGAAGACATGTGAAGTTCGTCAACACGCATTTGGGCAGCGCGGCGGACACTTCCTTGCCCTAAACCCTCTCAGAAATGAGGGGAGGCCTGAGCCCAGCAGTGGGACGTATATAGGCTGTAACTTTACTTTTTACTTTACTATATTCCAGAGCAGATAGGTTAATGAGTGTATTTTGCAAAAGGCCCGGTTTACATTTTGAGAAGTGGCAACTCCGTATTTTATTCACACTTATCACTTGTTCATACGCACTAAGCAGTTGTCATTTGTCAGTTGCACTTCCATCTTGCAGTTGTCACTTCTCGAAATATAAACCGGGCCTAAGTCACTTTTATCGAATTTTTGTAACTGGATCACAAAGCTTGAAAAAAAATCTTTACTAACAATGGTATTGTGATAAAAATTAGCAATGATCGACGATTGAAATTCGTTTTTGAATTTGTAATGCTTAATGTTTAAAAAAATATAGATTTTATTATATTCTTTTACGTCTTCTTCAGGCGATAAAAGTCCACTACTAGACATAGGCCTCTTCACTTGTTGAAAGATCATCATGATTAGTAGTCCGATTGGCGGTGGCAGTGCTTGACGTCTCGCACCTATGTCACTGTTCTCCATCTATTAAACTGTTCGCTGACCACTTATTTCATAATATAAATAACTAACCACATGACTATTTCATGATAAATGTTTAATTTCAATATTTTGTTTATATCGTTAAAAATTTTCATTATTCACCGTTAGCAGTACTAAAAGAGCATTTTAACAGTCGACATCACTTTATGCCTAATTTGTATAATATATAAATGTCGTTGATACTACTAGATGCTCGGATGGCCAAATGAGAATGGACGAATTAACAAACGTTGACATTTTTACAAAATGGAGAGTAATAAAAGTAAGCTATTTATCAAGAAACGGTTGTAATTCATGAAATTTTCGAGCACTTCGTGATATGATAAATTTTACGATCTGTCCATGACATATTATCGTTTCTCTAAAACGGCTCTAATGATTTAGATGAAATTATGTATGTAATGTTTCCAAGTTTATCTACTGTCATCACAGAATTTTCATTCTAATGCTGAGTAAAAGTCGGTCGCCCAAATTACGTAAATATTAAAGAGCAAATATAATATTGTAAAAATTTCTTTTAGATGATGATTACAGGCATTAAAGAGTGTCAAGTGCCGGAGATAAGATCTAACCTTATCCGAATGATTGGAATATTGGCATTACTGCTTGTAAACAAATTGAATGAAACTAGTTCAAATGTAATATGTGCCATCACGGAATTCATATTGGAACAAGCTCACAGAGAAAATGAAGTATGGGTGTTAGCTGAAGCTATAGACACTTTAGTGGATTTATATTCTGAAGATGACACTGATGCACTTGCTGCTAAAGTTAAACTTGTTGAGAAACTTGCTGTATTAGCTCCAATATTAAAAAATAAGGTAATATATTTTCGTCGACATATTTTTTATTGATTTCAAATGTTATTAAGTACTAACAAGCTTTTTAATTTAAGGCACGACAACAAAGAAAACTTCCACGAGAGTACAAAGTCCTTGTCTCCACTGCGACTTCAAATTTACCGCGATTTATTAAGTACAAAAAAAGTCGACTCAGTAATTTATAGTCAGTAACTTCTAGTCTTAAGTTGATTGTTCAGTTAATTTTTTTAAAAGACTTCGAATGGTGTTTAAAAATGTCTGGCTACTGTATGTAGAATTATATTTTGACCGGTGTTACGCTTTAAAAATACGTAAGACCGATCAATAATTAGGATAATTGCTATTTTAATAGGTTTTATATTTACTTGTTTATGATATTATTATTGACCACTGTTTATTAAAATATTTTTTATATCTGTTGTTTTTTTTAAACTTGACTTTAAATGAGGAGAAATAAATGAGCATCAGAAGAATAAATATTTATTAAACAACAGGCATATCAGTAACAAAAATAGCAATCCCACTGTGATTATTAACTCTTATAAAATATTAGGAATCTTGTATATAACTCATAATAAATGCGTATACTTACTACCGATAAAATATGAAAAAAGATTAACAAAATTATGATTTTATTTTCAAATAAATAATTTGCATAATAACATCTTCATGTGAATTAATTTAATAAATATATTAAATAAATAGTTATCACATTAAAAACCACAATATATTAAGAAACTGTAAAATAAAATAACAGTTAATATAAGTTACGTATAGTATTTGATCTCGTTATTAGCTTTCAATTTATTTTATAATCATTTAAATTCAAAATGCATATTAAAACATAGGTATAACATAGAATTGGTAGTAAAACTTGAAATAAGATGTCTTCAGCGCAGAAATGCGAAATTTTAAACTAATGGTAACTATCATATACTGTATTTATTTATTGGGGTTGCGTTTTTAAATATTTAGTAACATTTCATAACAATTATATACGTAAGTGTACTACAAATAATATAATTTCCTTTTTTACCTATGAAGTGTATCAAGATATTTTTTTTATAAATAATTGGTATTGGAATGACAAGAAATAATTAGATGCGCATACCAAATCATCATCAATGTTTTTCTATATAGATATACTTTATTGCAAATCCCCATATTAGTCGCATAATAAGACTGAGATCCAATTATATAAATCATTAAATCTAAATATTTATAAATAATAACCCTAACTCACAAGTTTTCACTTTTACACAAATTACACGTCGAAACTCATTCCTGTTAAGTTTTAAGATTACCGTTAACATGTGAATTAGAATCCCCGTAATGACTTCTACGTGGCTTTGGTATGGGATTTGGTGATGAAACATCTGGTTTATCAAATTTATGTCGGATGTCGGAAACTGACAACCGTTCGCCTTGTGTTGTTATATCATCTTCGATTAAAGCCGAGTTCAGTTTGCTAATTTCTCTTTCAAGTTCTCTTGTTGCTTTATCAATTTCCATGAATTCATTTTCTGTACTTGAAAGAGAATGATCGACACTCTTTTTTCTTGGATCGTCATAAAGCTTACACACTACTTTCTGGGGTTCCTCATTACTGTTCATGTCAATTTTCGCTTTGTCTTCATTTAAATTTATATCGTAAGATACATACGATCCATCGAGAGCATTAGTTAAACTTTTGCTTCTTTTGTTTGAGAGGGAATGAAAATCTTCCAAATTACCCCGTCGTAACCTGATATCGTCATCATTTACGCTGGAATTTCTTCTGTATTTAGTTATATCTACTTTAGGAAAATTCACCATGTTTAATATATCATCTTCAGAATCGGCACTTTTTACTTCGGATGTTCGTTCACCTTTAACATTATTATCTTCTAGCTCTGCGCTGACTTTCTTTTCTATATCTTCAGTATCGTCTGAAGAAACTATATTTTTTTCTTCTGTAGAAATATCTTGGTTCGTAACACTAGTTGTCAGAGAACTTTTATTTTTGACATCTTCATCCTCGATTATTTTTAGCTCAATATTCAAATTTACGTCCTCTATTTCATCGTCCACAATTTTATTAGGTTCTTGCTGATCCTTCGTTTCAGTTGTTCTTAATTCTATTTGCTCTTTCACCTGAAATGAGAATAACTCACTTTAAAACATTGACTTGCAATAAAAATACACGGATAAGGAAAATCTACAAGTAACTGTATCGCGCAGCAGTTATTCTGTAATGGGCAAAATTTTAAATGCAGAATACAAGTATACTATAATAACATAGTTATATTAATAAAAAATAGAAAGATGGTAGCCCGTGCGATTCAGACCCGAGACCTTCAGCAATCGCGATTACGATCACTAGACAAACAAGGCAGTTAACGACTTGAATGGATTATTATATTAATATTTTGATAGTGAAGAGTTTATAATCAGTATTTAACTATAAACGAGTATGAATAATACAAAAATAAATGGAAAATGTATATTAATAATGAATTATAGATAATAATAATTCATTAAGTCTCCCTTTACAATTTCAACAACATTGCCAGAGCTAGATTCCAGTTTTGTGAGAGTATATAGTGTTTAACCAGGATCACTTGTGTGTTAGATAGTGTGAGATAGTGGATGGATTAGTAAGCTGAAGTGGAAATGGACCGGCATATAGCTCAAAGAACCGACAACCGATGGAGAATATAGGTTCTCGAATGACAGCCACTGACGACCTGCTAAGATATGCAAGAAGTCGATGGATGCAGATGGCCTAGGACCGTGCCTGGTGGTATTTATAGACGAGGCCTATGTTTAGCACTGGACTTGTGAAGGGCTGTAATGATGACGATGAGGACTTGCGTACAGTATTGGTAGTAAATCAAAATATCAGATAAATATAACGTAATTTTTTAATACTATATTTTAATATTATCGTATTAATATGTAAAGCTATAAACATCTAAAATTAGCCGACAAAGCCCAGCAGATCAGTAAGCTAAAATGGCAATTGGCCGGCCGAATATAGATCGAAGAACCGACAACCGATGGGGAAGAAAGGGACTCAACTGGCAGCTTCGAAAAACTTAGATGGAGTAATGAGCTGGTAAGAGATGCAGGTGGCTCAGGACCATGCTTAGTGGTATTACTCGGAGGAGGCGTATGTTCAGCAGAGGGTGATGCAGAGAACAACATTATACGTTCATCCCTGCTCTTGTATCATTTAAAAAAAGAGGGAGAAGATAAATAAATATCGAATATTTCAAATCTTACCGTAATATCAGCTGATACAGTGGTGTCTGGTGGAGGCAGCGGTGCTCGCTTTTTCTTACGTCGAGAAGCACGGACTGGAGGAACTGGCGCTTCGTCGAAGGGGTTGGTGCTCTCCACGCTTAGTCGCGACCCGGTTATGTCGCTACGTGCCATGCGAGGTGTAGTACTGAGGAGAGCAAAAGCCATGGACATAATTATCAGATGACAAACATCAGTTACGTACTCTAAATCTTAAAAATATATAAGGTTAATCTGTTGCCAATATTTTTTTTGTAAATTGAGATAGAGTAAGCAAAAGGAACATCGCTGAAACTTATTCGGTTTACCAACTTCACCAGTACGTGCTTCCTTCTCCCTGCTAAATAATCCAAAAAAATAAAGGTTAAAAATGGTCTTAGGTTTTGTCTGGGATGTTTTGTATCTGTATGCTATAAACGAAACACCAAATTTCACCGATGCCAGGGCATTCAATATAAAAATGTTTATCCACGAAACATTAACGGCTCGATGCGCAGTGGCAAAGCAATTGACTGCGGGGCTGTGTGTTTGAATCGTGGACGGAATAATTATTTAAACGATCGCGGGTCTGCTGAAAATTTGTCCATATGAAAAATACAAGAAATAGTGTACTTTGCATCCATTACGACGGCGACACTGAAAGTTTTTAGAACTGGCCATTTGCGAATGATATAATAAAAAAATAAGTTTTTAAGAAAAAAAAATTTTGAAAATGGAACTCTGCCAATATAATTATGTATATATTTTGTTAATTTGTCATTTGTTTATGATTTGGTGGCAAATTAAAAATTGTCTGTTTGATTGTGTGTGATTTTTTATGACTTTCAAACTTTCGATGTCATTTAAGTCAACAAGAAAGTTATAATAGACTTCGATCGGCCTTTCACAATGAAGCCCCATCTCGTGCCACTGTTTACAACTGATTTAATGAGTTAAAACGTGGTCGCACTAATCTCACCGATGATCTGCGTAAGGGATGGCCGTCCACAGCGACGGCTGAAGATAACATCAGTGTTGTGCGACATGTGATAGAGACTGACAAAAGAGTGACTTTCAGCAGATTCGGACAAGCTTAGGCATCGGTATGAGTCAAGTGCACAAAATCCTCTATAAACATTTAGCGGTCAGGAAGCTTTGACAGAGGGCCAAAAACTTTTTCGTGTTGATTGACGTCGTGAAATAGTTCAAAGATTTAACGGAGGTGACTCAAATGCTGTGTTCGACATACCTACTTACGGTTGACGAAAGCTGGATTTATTGTTATGATCCTGAAACTAAGAGACAGTCTGCTGTTTAGGTGTTTTCTTCCGAGGAGTTGCCAACTAAAGTGATGAGAGGTCGAAGCGTGGGAAAAAGATGGCGGTCTCGTTCTTCGATCGGACAGGTCATTTGTCAACAACAATTGTTTTAAAGGATCGAAAAACAGTTACTGCAGAGTGGTACATTAACAATTGTTTGCCACTTGTCTTGAAAAAAGTTCGGAAGAAACGACCTCGCAGTAGGATCGTTCTTCACCACGACAACGCCACGTCGCACACCGCCAAGCAAACATTCGACTATTTGGCGACGTGAAATTACTGGGTCACCCGCCCTATAGCCCCGACCTCGCACCTTGCGATTTTTATTTCCGAAAATAAAAAATAATCTTTGAGGAAACGTTTTATGGACGCCGAGGAAGCAGTGGCTGCGTTTCAAAATACTGTCGAAGAGACCCCTAATGACGAGTGGGCAGTGCTTTTCTCAGTGGTTCCATCGGATGCAGCGATGTATTGATGTAAATGGACACTATTTTGTAAAGATATAAGGTGGATGGACCATGGAAGGCCAATTATTAAAATGTCGTAATTATTGCCATATGATGACAAATTCTTTCTACTTACACAAACACCCATCGAACTGAAAATCACAGACGCGGCGGCGAATCGCTCGCGCTATATTATGGCAGTACGGTCCTTCGCTTCATTGATTTCGGGAATCGATGACGTTAAAATAAGTGGGTGTACCATGGAAGGCCACTCTAACAAATAAACAGTTATCTCCTGGACAAATGAAACATATAAACCACTTCTTTTTATTTTAGATTTAATCGCTATTTATTAAATTTTAGTGTTAAATGACTGATTTATTATAATGGCCTTATAAGAAGCCGTGTTCTTAGCAAGGTCATATGGAAGAGTTCAATGAAACTTAAGTTTAATCAACAATGATTAAATCTGCAATTTAAAAAGTCGTTTATATGTTACGTAATAAAACAAACTATTACTTAAATATTTGTTAGTTTTATTTATCCAGTAAATTAACAAATAATAACTGTTTCTTTGTTAGAGTGGCCTTCCATGGTACACCCACCTTAATAAAACTAATAACTTGCTAGTTTGTTCAGTTTATGATTTTCTAAGAATTTTTAAGAAAACGGAGAAAACTTAATTATGTGTAAAAGGCACGGTTTCTTTAAATAAGCCGGAATAATGATTAAATCTCAGCGAATTACAATTACGGCAACTTCCGCTTACTTTCGGAAACTCAATCGTGCAGGAGAATGAGTGCCGCAAGTACTTACAGACACGCAAGAACTCTTTAGACACTGTGCGATGTCGGTAACACATAATTTTTAATCGGTACATAAAAGTTCTCTGTAGTCATACTGCAGCTATATTATAGTAACAAGAATGGGTTGTCTCGACCTGGGATGGACCTCGCTCTCACATAGTACCAGCGAAAAATAGCAGCTTAATGTTGCTGTGTTTCCTATGTTGAGTGTAGAGAACCGGAGACCCTATGTACTGACGATGAGGCATTCCCACTTAGACCACAACGCATCTGCGTTTTTCGATAGATGTAAATGTCGATGGGCCACAGTATCTACTTACCATCAGGTGGACTGTGCCCTCGTTTGTTACTCCTATTTTATAAAAAATGGACATTTTCCGTTGTAGGTAGAATTAGGCTTAATCATATCGCTTGGCAGGCGAATTGACACCGTAGTGCCAGACACTGCTACCCGTCAGCACTCTGGATTATATCTGAATAACATTTTAAACGAGATGGTAGATACCGCCGTGTACTGGGAGCCATAAAATCTTTCTGATATTTCCCGCCTGAAAACCGCTTTTTACGACACCCACGGGACGAAATATAATGATAGATTCTCTTATGCTGCCACTATCGCAAAATATCATAAATTAAATATTATCATAACCCACCAGGTGACACTATCTCAATGCTAAATCTAAATTAATTTCGTACATTCTTGAGAAGTTAAAGATAACTATTTCAGATTTCAATTTCTAAAAAATTGGACTTTATCGGAATTCACATGCTTCATCTCTACAGCGTTCATTATTTTTATATTCTGATTTTACCTCAAAATAAGCTTTGAGTTTCTTCATGATTACCATTCACGGTATCTGATATCAGCAGATTGAAGTCGAATATGCCTAGTATAGCTATTAGTAAACGTGTCTGTTACTGTACTGGCAGTTGGTGTATGGAATGCACAAAAACGAATAAAAACTTGACAAAGATCATACCTGTCTCTTTAATATATAACTACTTTGTTTTCAAACTAGCTATTGTATGTAATTTAAGTAGTACATTTTTGCATATAATACAGTATATTGCATATTTCTTTTGTATAGGTACATATTGTGTATTATATCGTGTGTAATAAAGAATATTAAATAAATAATAATTTTTAAACTTAATGTACCTAATAGAACTGACTTCATATTGACTAGGGCTCCGTAACCGCTCTTGAAATCGCGAGCGCGGCAAAGGTGTGACCGAACCACCGTACATGTAGCGGTCTGCACGCTCCGGTGAGCTCACAGTGCTGCGTGCACCAGCCGCTGTCGAATCTGATCAAATAGAAAAAAAAAACAGTTAATGTAGAATAGAAAAAATGTTTTTGTTTTTATTCAGTACGTGGTAAACCCATGCTGCAGTTATATTAGTAGTATAGTTGTAGCACGAATGGGTCGGCTCGACCGGGGAAGGACCACGCTCTCACAGAATACCAGCATAAAATAGCGGCTTAACGCTGTTGTGTTTCGTATGGTGAGTGTATGTTCTCACGCATCTGCATTTTGCTTCGTAATTGAGGATAGATATGGATGTCTATGGGCCACAGCATCCACTCACCATCAGGGGGACTGTGTGCTCGCTTGTCACCCTATCCTATAAAAAATATGTACGTATCTTGTTAATAAGCTTGCAAAGCAAGGCAACTATGACATTTATCACCCAGGATAAATGCCTGTAATGGATCTACGATTTTGATCCTTCACCTTCACTATGATACTTTACTGTTGGATCTTTACATTTTTAACTTCAATATTTAAATTTTACAAACCATAATCCTTTTTAAGACATCTCTCTCACATGTATATAATGATATACTTTTTTTTAAATTAAAGTAGAGCATTATAAATTAAGGTAGGGCTAAGAGAAATTCCTATGGTTATTTATATGAAGTTACCAACAGTAGGTAATGAAGTCATACACCATGTGTTATATTATCAACAGTACTACGTTTTTAAGGGTGTAGGTAAGCAATACGCTTTGGCAGTTTAGAGGCTAAACGCTCGCCGTAAATTTCACAGTAACGCGAGCAACTTGTGTTCGATCCCCGCCGGCTCCAATGAAGTTATTAATTTCACTTAAATGCTGTTTGCTGCGTGGTTGGCTATAAGATGTAAGGTAAGATCGTCATAAAAGCTGCATGTTTCAAAAATAAAATATTTTGAGGACAAGTGAAGCTGTGGAGCTGTGAATTGCTCAACAATCCCTTTTAGAGATGAGAGGAAGCCAGTTCCAGCACTAGATTCGGTGTGAACGTACACAAGCAAAAATTTAACCTGGATTAAATGCTACTCACACCACGCTGGGCAAGCGAGTTGAGGAGCACATAGCCGATAGCTTGAAATGGTAATGGTAACATTTTAATGTACGAGTATTTATTATATAAATAAATAACGTTTCGAATAATAACCAAAAGTAAGTTTAACGTTGCTCGTTGCTGGTTAATATTCAGCACTCCACGTGGTCCCTGGTAGAGAATGCCTAAGTCCGCCCTTTGTATCCTTTTTATAGGGAATGCAATAATGATTAAAAATAAACAAATATTGTACTTTTTAGCTAAGGGGACATTCAAGCATTACATACGCAGGCCTTGGTGCTCAATTTTATGTTCCTTTTTCTGGCAAAGGGATTGGAGGGATGTTATATGTAATATCTTACGTAGATCAAAAGATTAGATTAGAGTAGGCAAAAAATCAAAAATAATGAAAGATATACATATATAATAAGATTTAAATTTAATTTAAAATTAATAAGAAGTAGGTAGTAACTTCTAATATAAAATATTAGAAGTTACTACCTACTTCAATTATTATTCCCTAATTTATACCGAAATTCATCGCAAAGGAGACGGGCCAAAATTGTATGAAACGTTAGGCCTAGTTTTGTACTAATAGGGAAATGAATTCAAATAAAATATTAAACTTTTTTGATCATTCAAATTCACGAATTTGCCTTTATTTCTGTGGTATTAATATTTTATTATCACCAAAAAATGCAACACTAATAGGTTTACCTATGGAATTGCCGTTCTGCAGTACTGGCTATTTCAAATTAAAATAACTTTTGCTTGGCTAAGAACTCTAATTTCCAATTTATTTTATTATAAAAACATGGAATTCTTTTTTTTTTAAATTAGTCAACTGTTTATTGATTAGCGTTATGTTTTCATCGCATTTGAATCTTTTTCGTCATCATGGATACGTTAAAATGCGAGTACCTAATTATGGAATATGAGTACCGTCATGGCAGCAACGCGGCACAAGTGGCACGCAACATCAACAACGTTTAGAGAGCGAATACTTCAAACGAACGCACCACCTGCTATTGGTTTGCCCGCTTCCATTCTGTAAATTTCGACACGAAAAATGAACCCCGTGGTCGTCCGTATACTTTGGTTGACAATGACTAATTAAAGGCGATTGTGTAAGCTGATGATACTCAATCTACGGCTGAATTAGCAGCAGCTTTCTACGTTAGTCGTACGTCCATTTGCAGCAAATTGGCAAGGTACCCGAGAGGCAGAACAAAATGCATTTGAAGAATTTGTTGTCTCCCGTTCAACTAATTTCTTCAAGAAGGGCATCAATAAACCCATGCACTGCCACTGCGTTGGCAAAAAAGCGTTGACAGCATGGGTAATAACTTTGATAAAGACGACACATCCAAAATTAATGTTTAAAATGGCTCTTTAAGTTTTTATGATTAAAAAAAGTCTACTAAAAAACTACAATTGCGTAGCGCCCGCGACGATTAAGACCGTTTAGAAATAGTAAGAATCTTAAAATATTTAAAAAAAAATTGATTTAAGTAATCAAAATAATGAGCAAGTAAGTTACGAGTACCTATTGATGTTATGAATATATTTGAGCGATTCCCAAGCATATAGATTAAGTAATTTTGTTGTGATTTCAACTATAGTGATTTTTTGGAGGTGGCTTTTGCAAATAATTATGATCGAATCAAAATTTTACAATCGTGTTTTTAAACAAGCAAAAAGACATGAATTTACCTAATATCAAAATTCCAGTTTCGTTAGTGGTGTCATAGTCCTATACTATTCGATGAAAGGAGGTGCATTTTTTCACGGTGTCGCTTTAATAGAAGTAAAAAATATTATTAAAAAAATTGCGTTAGCTTATTTCGAAAAAAAAACGGCAATTTCATAGGTAAAGATATAATAAACAAGCGTCTTCCGAGAATTAAATGATTTTCTGGTTAAGTATAAATTTTAGAACTTTTTTTACGTCTAATCATTTCTGTGAGGGGGATTATAATTTTTATCTATTGATGGGTAGGTGGCTTAAAATCGTGGAAAGGTGTTTTCCTAATGCTTGAACGGCCCCCGATTACAAGTATAATAATGTAGTAAGTAGTCGATTAAAATTTTATCGTAACTATGGACTAGTACCACTTCACTATTGGACACACAACAACATCATCAATATCACTTTAGCCTGCAATAGTCTATTACTGACTATATGGCTCTTATGAGACACCACACTTAGCTAAACGCCATGACTGTCCAGATTTGGGCGGACATAGCTACCATCACGTTTGGCAGACAGTTACTGTGTTAATTTGTTAAATAAAAATATTTAATTAAAAAAATGATTACATTGAAGGGCCCGCCTGTATATTATAGGACTACTGTCTCCATTAGGTTGATTATTTGTTTTGCTATCCGCTTTTTCTTTCTTTCCTTTCCTCATGAACGATCTTAAGGACCTGTAAAAAGAAAACGATTACCATTAAAACTTGTATGAAGTTAAAGTATATTTAAAGCTTAATAAAATTTTCAGTTATATTCAAGAGTAATTTTTAAAAAATTGTAAAGCAATTCTAAGTGTAAATGCTTTTATCAAATGACGGCTCCCGTGACGAAAGGCATCGGCCTCATTCGCTTACATTATACAATATTTTTTAATTTTAGGAAAATATAACCCAACAAAAAAAATTATAGAGTAAATGAGGGCAGTGTTAGTGATTTTCTGGCAACCCTGAGCAGTGACACATTGCCGAGTGAGCCAGAAAAAGTAGCATTGATAGATTTCCTAGTTAGAAAATAGTAGAAGTTAGAAAATATATATAATATATAATATTTCCTAGTTAGAAAATAGTAGAAGTTAGAAAATATATATAATATATAATATTTCCTAGTTAGAAAATAGTCCTAGTTAGAAAATAGTAGTAGTAGAGCCACGTTGCAGCTATATTATTGTTGTAGCACGAACGGGTCGGCTCGACCGGAGAAAAACCACGCTCTCACAGAATACCAGCGTAAAATAGCAGCTAAATGCTGCTGTGTTTCGTTTGGTGAGTGTAGAGAATCGGAAACCCTTTTTTTACAGGAAACGAGGGCATTCCATCTTAGTCTTTAGGGGTGACAACGCATTTGCGTTTTGATTCTTAATCGAGGATGAATGTAGATTTCTATGGATGTATATATCATTCATTTACCATCAGGTGGACTGTGTGCTTGTTTGTCACCCTTATTCTATAAAAAAAATGTAGTTTCGTGTTTCGCAGCCATCTAAACGTTTTTGTCAGGCTGTACAGTCGTCTTACTTATAGTCTGGATTTTTTACTTTTTGGCAATCTACTATGTATTTATAATCTATTAGATTTCGTACTGTTTAATAAAAATAACACTTCAAGACATTTAACGGCAAATGATTTATATAATATGATAATTATCAAACACAAATATTGGATTTTAGAGCAAATAATTGTTACGATCCTTATATTTAGACAAGTGAAGCCTAAATTTTAATGTAATAAATAAAAAATAGACGTTAGTACATATTGATGTTGTATAGAATATTTTCTTTTACACATTCTTTTAACATTACACAAAGTTTACATTTTCTGTCAAATATTTTAACTCATTGTAAAGTGGCGCCGCCCTGGTGGCAGAAAAAGTCGTGGAGCCCTCATTAATGACAAATTATTTGATTTCTACCAATCAAATGTAATAAATATATGATCATAGCAGAAAATGTTTTTATTATTAACTATTTTTTACTTTCCAACAGCGTCCCAAATTCTAGTGTGCCCAAGGGCTCCGGTATAGCCTAAGACGGCGTTGGCCGTCACCCTAAAAAATTCACCATAGGATGGATACTCGGAAACGCGTGTTCATCTTTCCACCCCAGAGGGTGGATAATCAGAATTCGTATATTATTTTTCTTCCGTTTTTCTCCCTCGGCTGTGTACAGTCATTTATAGAAACATGATAAAAACTGGTTAAAGACACTGTAGACGTTAGCATATTATAAAAATATATACATATTTTTATAATATGCTAACGTTTGAAAGGTCTACGCTGAAATAAAAGGAGTTGTACTTCACAGGATCATTGGAATCTTGGCATAAAACAATTTATAATGAAGTTAAAGACAAACATCCACAAGTAACGTTTTTGGAATACACGTAATAAACGCCCAGTTTTTCGTTAACACATCTGTTATAGCAAAGAAATTTAGAAAACGATTGCAAATACATACATTATATTGAAAGTGACAAATTTATGCAGGATATCGAAGTACGTCTACTCAATAATGAAATTAGTACTTTCCTGGGTTTTGTTTAAGTTTGTGGTTATTAAAAAATAATAATTAAAGTGTATAAGTTGAATAATGTACTTGCAGTAAAAGTTGGAAAAAAATTCCGTAAAACTCGAATTAAGAATCATTATAGAACAAATAAAAGTTAATTCCGATTATCCAACCCGTCTGGGGTCGATAGAGGGACACGCATTTCCGAGAATCCAGCATAGGGTGGATAAACGGAATAACCTGAGTTATTCCAGTATTTCTCGGGAAAACGTCGCCGAGTCCGGGAACAAACTTGTCTGAATACCATCAATCCCGAGACTTTGGCGACTAAATCTAGTCCAGTTCAATCACCAGAAGCCACAAATGTGATCGTTTACCGCTCAAATAAACCCCTTTGTCGTATCTGTGTCCAGTAATGACGATATCGAGATGTAGGCTGATACTTATTTTACTTTAAATTGGGCAGTTATGCGTAAACTCATCATCGTCATCATTACAACCTATCAAAAGTCCACATAGGCTCCCCCATAAATTGACAAATAGGCTGGATACTTGATATGACGATATAAGGTCGCGGATTCTCTTTCGCCGCCACAACACGACGAACATTTTTCTACTCCCGTTCATGAGTGTGATTCTTCCCACTCTTTCACTGTGAATAGATCTTCACTTGGAATAAAACTAATATTAAAAATTTTATCGCGTTTAATTTTAACTTTTTTAATACTATACAGCACCCATGGTCACGGGGGGGGGGGGACTGAGCTGTTTGAGGTCCTGATGTCATACTTAACGAAAGCTATAAGTCTTGCAGTAGTAAGTTTGGGTTTCAATTTTATTTTATTAATTATGCACTATTATCAAGCAGATGGTAGCCCCGGACGTATTCTCTATAGAAACTAGGATGTTTTTCTTTAATTTCAATAGCCTTGCAAACCATCCTTGGTATCAATCGCGGTCCTTTGGCGAGGATTTATGGTCTACCGGATCTGATAAAATGGTTGGGACGATACTGAATATGTTGACATACTTCAGACTTCCCGGAGCGTCTCGTCGGTGCTTCCCATCAGCGATAACATATTCTTTTGCGTGGGTTTTTATGGATTTATCATCAAAAGATGCGTAAAGAAATCCACATAAAAAAGGTTAAATTAAACGCGTTCAAATTCTTACATTTAATTTTATTCCATGTGTACCTAGTATTTGCTTAAATATAAGACATAATTACAGAACTTCATTTATGAAATTTTGCAGTCTACTCAAAAATACGTATAAATAATATCAACATTACATATTATTTTATGATTCCAATCAATATTAAATGGGTCCCATTTAATATTGATTGGCATCGCATGAAATGAATCAAATATCGCAAATAAACATCATACCGTAATTTACGTGATGGATCCACGCTGTAGCTATATTATAGTTATAGCACGAATGGGTCGCTCGATCGGGGCAGGACCACGCTCTCACAGAATACCATTGTAAAATAGCAACGTAATGCTGCTGTGTATCGTATGATGAGTGGAGAGAACCGGAGACCATTTTAACTGGAATCGAGGCATTCCATCTTAGTCCTCAGGGGTGATAACGCATTTGCATTTTGATCCTTAATGGAGGATAAATGTTGATGTCTATAGGCCACAGCATCCACTTACCATCAAGTGGACTGTGTGATCATTTGTCACCCAATGCTATAAAAAAAAATAGTGGACGACAATGAAATTCACCTTCGTTTTGTTAAAACTAAATTAACTTTAATGTTGAAAAAATATAAAGTGCAAAAAGTAAACAACGCTATTTTGATTGCAAAGCAATTGACCTTTCTTATATTATATACATTAGAAGACACGCCTGGTATAAAAAATAGTAGGTGTAAATAGACATAAGATATTAATGCAACTATGAAAAACTTATTTATTCACGTGTTTCTGTAACATATTACATCTATGCCAGATATCAAGCATCTACGTCCAATAGTCCTTAAAAATTCCAAAAATTCTTTGACAAACAGACACACAGAGGTGACTCTGAGAGTGATCGAATTTGCTAAATTTGGCACGAAACAATATTTATTAATGTTGCTAAATTCAAGCCTGTAATAAAATAAGAATTGTAATATAATGCGAAACAACGACTAATGTCGCAAATTCGCCTGAATAAACCGGACAAAATACAACGAATACTGAATGACATGTTTCGAACTTTGTTTTATTTCAGATTATCGTGAGATTTCAGTTGATTCGAATAAAACAATATTCTTTACTTTATTTACTTATAAATGATGATTGTAGTAGGTAAGTATTGACAACCTACTGTCAGTACCTACTACACTCCTAATCATCTATTACTATAATTAAACTTTAAAACGACGTCTGCCTGAACACGCAACACGCAAAAACCTGTGTACCGATTTGGACGGGACTTTCACTGGCAGATAGCTGATGTTATAAGGAGTAGGTAAATTAGGACATTTTTATTTAAGGGTTCCGCACAAATAAAAAAAATTCACGTGGGCGAAGTCGCAAGGAACAGCTGGTTAATATTTCATAAGGTCATGACGTTGGATACAAAAAGATAGATTAAACATTTGATAATTTTTTTCCAACAACTACAATGTACACTATAGTTTAATGACCAGAATTAAATACATAGTAAGATTATCATATTACCAAAAGGATGTTGAATCCCATAAAATTATAACTGGCATTATATTATTAAGATCCGGACGTTAAATTCAATAAAAATAATTCGGCGAGGAGGATGTCTGTAGGCGCAGTACGGACAAAAGTAATGAAAGTTTAGTGCACTTGATTCCACTTGAGTGGCAACAATTGCCCCGTGACGAACGAATCAACGAACAGTTAATAGCACGCTCACCTTAGACATTATACTATAGGGCCGTGCTAAACAATTTTTTCCTAACACCTTCTCACGGGATGTCTCACGGGGAGACTTCTTCCCTTACAGAGAGAATGTACTGTTTGACTGGGCCTTCCCACGAAAAGGAGTAAAAGATTCTGTCTCGTTTTGTCGGTTGAAGTAATAGGTATAGAACAAGAATTAGGGAGATCATCAACAGCGTAAACAAGGCTTCACTAGAGCTAAAACTTCTTAGGAAGCTTAAAACATATTTGGAAACTACTCCAGTTGGACATACGTACGATG